CTCTATGTATAGATTATGGGGAGCCATTGAGTAGTACTAAGAATTTGATTCAGATTTGTGATTTAGAAAAATAACTTTGGTAGCAGTGTGGAGAAGGAATTAGAAGAGGGACATATAAAGAGACTGTTAAATTTATCCATGCCAGTGAATTAAAGAGAAGCTGGCTAAGGCAATGGCAGTGCATATTATGAAAAAGAGGTAGATTTTACAGATATTCAGGGTATGGAGGTAGAGTAATAGAACTGGGGGACTAATCGGCTCAGGGGCAAGGCTTTAGAAACTCACTCTGAAAAATCAATGCAGCATAGCTCAGAAATAATTATGGGTTCTGGAGCAAAGTACCTGGGCTCAAATCCAGGCTCCTGCATTTACTTGCTGTGAGACTTCTGACAGGTTATACAACTCCTCTACTCTGATTTGTCTCTGCACAATGAGAATATGGGAATTAGAAAAGTATCCACTTCAAAGAGCTGTTTTTGGGGACTAAGTAAGATAGATGTAAGCCATTTAGAATGATGTCTAGTATATCATAAGAACTCGATGACACTGATGTCATTTTTTTTCTTGCACAAACTGAAAATGATTTTGGAAATACATAATAAACTAAATTATTATTGTGATTTGTAGAACATGACACATTAAGCATCAATGACACTAGCATGTGATCATTCTTTGCTTCTGATGAAATCATTTTCTTCTTCACTTTTTGACAAGAAAAGACAATATAATCAAGAAAACTGACTTATCTTCATGGGGCAGAAATATAAAGTATGATAATGCTGAGAAACCAATGGCCATACTAGAGTATATAACTAAATATGTACAGCAGTTAGATGGTGGGTCTTACATGCATTCAGTCTTTCATTCATTTGGCCAACTCCTATTTCCAAGATAGATATTTTTAAAATTCGCAGTAAAAGTAGACTCTAACAGAGATTATATATGATCTATTAAGTAGTTTCATCAGTGTCACTTAAAATCCAGTCAACGTAGGTATCAATAGTAAAACCTGGAATAGGGTCAGTCTGTCCAAACCAAAACGATGATCATAACAACTGTTTCTAGTAATGGTGTGGCCAGCAATTTTCTACAGGGAATCAGAACACACAGTGCAGGTGGGAGGTAGCATACTCCTCAATTCCACACCATCCCATCCCCAGATGCCTACCTCATGGTAGACTCTGCATAAATACCTAACGAATAAAAGAATTATAGGGCTGCTTTCTGATATTGAAGTAAATAATCACAGTTTCAACCAGGAAAATTAGACACTGATTTAAGACTATCTCAAACAGTATGACACAGTTCTAGACTAAATCATAGGGATAGACAGGCTTGCTTTAGGAATGGGGGTACAGGCTATTTTGAACAGGTCTGTGAGAAGACCAAGATTTTAAGAGTTGTAAGTGACAAATTCCGAAAATAATTTCTAAACCCACTAAACCAGGAATAAATGTTGGTATTTTTTTTTTTTTCTGGAAGCATCAGTATTTTCAGCTTTATCTATGCACTGGTTATAAATATTAAGGACAAAAATATCTGGTTCAGCAGAGTTCTGGCTTTGGTGTTTATAAGCCCAGCCTGGTTAGTGGGAGAAGAATGGCTGGCTGTCATGTCCAAGATCAGGAGGGTGTTTTTAAAGGGTATGACAGCTGCCTCTGAGGGATCCCTTTATGCCAGCTCATTAGAAATCATTTCTCAATCCAGGACATAAGCGCCCTCCAAACCTGCCCCTTATCAAAGGGCTCAGCCATTGACACTAGTGTCCTTCTTAGAGCCATCACTAGGCAGCCCGCTCCCTGTATTCTCTCTGTAGCTGTCTTTTTGTCAGTAAGATAAAAACTCTTGTCTTCAAAATTATTAAGGCATTTTTCCCCCATGCAGCAATCCAGTGTCTTTATTTAATGAACCCCTAATTCTTGCCAGATGTTTTGCTAAGCATTTGATATTTTGTATTTCTTCTCCTTTAATTCCCACAAAACCTGTAAGTAGAGTGTAAACACAATTACACTCATTTTATTAATGAAGATGTGAGGATTGGAGAGGTTAAGTAGCTTTCCCTGGATCACAGAGCTTGCCAGTGACATTGTTGGGGTTCAAACCCAGACCAATCTGACCTCATAGCCCTCCTAACACAGTTGGGCTAACATCTTTTATGGTGGGGCCTAGACAGGTGTATCTTGGATAAAGTGTCTCAGGTTCTTCTGTATAGAAACTTCCCTTTGTTCAACTGGCAGTCCTGAACTCCTCCATGGACAGTAAATGTTTGAGAGCAAGGTATTTGTTTGGCCCATAGGAGTCAATTTCCTTTCTCTCGCTGCCCTGAAAGAACCAAAGATCTTTAACTGTTCAAAAATAAAAACTTGATATTTATATTAGTTTTGAATTGTCCATAGAGTCTGTTTACTGAACTTATTTTTTCTTCTTTTTCTATGTCCCTTCAATATTCTATCATCTATCAATCATCTACCTCTATAATCTGTCATCTATCTCTATAATTTTCTATCAATCTATCTATCTATGCATCCATCCAACTAAACATCCATCCATGCATCCATTCATCCATCTATCCATCCGTCCATCTTCATCTCTCATCTATCTACTAGTGGTATGTGCCCATAATCCAGATTTTGGTTCCCTTTCCTTTATTTCTGTGGGAACTTGGACAGATTTTGCCCCTTGACTCTTTATGAGGACTTTGAGACTTCTTAGATCCTTCTGGATTTAAACTCTGCATGTAACTAAGTTTACCTTTACACAGAAAGACCCAATTCTTGGTGTTTCTTTGGAAAAATACTTCATTGAATTGTAAGAACAAATTAAAACTGGCATCTACATCTTCAGAGAAAACCAATGAGAAAATAAGTTATGTGTAAAACAGTAAAATAAATATTCTAAATTGGTCTGATTAACAGCTGATGAGAAGCCTGGTTTATATATATTAGAAAACAAATCCAGAATTTAGCTCCCTCTGAGATAATTATTTTGCTCTTCCCTGGAACCAGTTTTTATGTCTTGAGAAAAGATTTACATCTCAAATAAGCAGCAGGAACAAATTAGCTGCCAAGAACTGTCCTTTCAACGATGCTATTGATAGCCAAGTTAAGATGATTATAAATCTATTAGAATATACGGCACCATTGATTTTGGTGTTTTAAAGATTTGAGGTATGAGATTCTCATTAAACTATGAAAATGTTTTATATGTGGCTTTTCATACTATAAAATGTAATTTGACTTGAGTACCTAAAAAAACCTCCTAACTCATGACAGTTTCTTTTTCAACTGTACTTCTTTGTTTTACATGAGCACTATTAGAGCCTAGATAAGCATTGGGAATAACTAACATTGAGGAGTTACATCATCATTTTATACTTTATAATTAGGAAAAAAAGAGATGCAATCTTTCCATAGAAGATGAGAATGGAAACTTAATTTTCCCAATCCAGGACATAAGAGTTATGTGACATCTAGATTAGCTTCCACTCCCACCCCTGCTACCACTATCATTCAAAATCACTTCCTGTGCTTGCTACAACTCTTTCCTTCCTGAGTTAGCCTATTTGGTAAATTGAATGGTATTACATATCTCTGGGACAAAAGACTGGATGATACTCATTATTATGGGTTTAGATACACACTCTTTTCCTTTGCTCAGTGCACTTGATAAGGAAGTGAAATTAGCCACCTTTGTGATTGTGTCAAGCCTCACTTAAGTTCAGATCTGAGTTAATATAATCTTTGGTTATTTTCAGCCATTTTAGTTGTCATTTGTGTTTCCAAATTGTCAAACAATGTACTCTCTCTATAATGCCCTTTAATTTGCCCAAAATTACAAGAGCCAATCTGAATTCTGCCCAAGTATTTCCTACATTTCTCATTACTCTTTCTTTCAAAGCTGCCTTCTCTCTCCCTTCCTCTCTGGAAACGGAACTAGTCAGGGGTCTCTTATCAGACTCCCTTCATGTTTAACAACAGTTGATTTTGCAAAAAAAAATCATGTCTGCCTTGTGCTTTATCCACTCAGGATTCTATTCTTGGGTATTTTCGCTGATGAAATTAATTTTATAAAAGTGCTACTTGACAGTGACTTAGCGGATTCCTTCACCACAATATCTTAATTTTAGTTTAATTGTGTCCACAGATGGTATAACTTAAAGGTTTATCAATTGTGGTAATTTTCACGCCATATTAAAGTTAAGATCATTTTGGAGGGGAGAATACTTTTCAAAATTTAAACTTTTTCTATAGCAGCATTGGACCTGAATTATAAATTTCATCCAAATTCCAAAGGATGAAATTTATAATTCAGGTTCAATGCTGCTATGGAAAAGTTTAGAAACAGTTTGCAGGGATTGGAAGGTGCGTTGGTAGGGCGGTGTGCTTGCCATCATCCTGTCCACCCCATTCCACTCCAGTTGACGTCACCTTCCAATAGCAGCAAAACTTCAAATTCACTTGCTTTCAAGGAATTTCCTCTTTTTATTAGATGGACAGGTAAAAACTCAGTTTAAAATTATAATTCCTTAGTCCCAGTCCTAGATATGTTGTTAACATTGGTTGCACATTCATGCTGTCCTAAATTTTCAGCAGCTGAGGAATTTCTTTAGTCATTTGTTTGTATACCACTGTCTCTTCTGAAGACTTCTAGAATTTTTTTCTAAACTTCAGCATTTGTTCTCAAATATATTCCTTAGTGTTTCTACTTAAAGGTTGATATTCTTTCCAAATCATACGTCAATAAAAATATAATAAATATAAGATTTTATGTTTACCAGTTAAGCATTTGTTTTCTTTTATAAACAGAATATTTTGTAAGTCTTAAACAACTATTTAATCTGACTACACATGATTGTTAGAGGTGCTCTTCTCCTGTTTTTTCATTTACATATTAACACATCCTAGTGTTTTAGAGTTTTTTGGTACAAATTCCATTTGTAACATGTTAAATAATATTTAAATACTGTCCACTAATAAGTATGTTGTTTTTCACCACTGCAGGTGGAAGAGGCCCTGGAAGCTGTCAAAAATGCTACAAACGAGCAAGACCTTGCAAACCGTTTTAAAGAGTTTGGAAAAGAGATGGTGAAACTCAACTATGTAGCAGCAAGAAGACAACAGGTGAGAAAGATTTTGGAAATGCTAGGGGAGGAAATGGGTGAGTTTACACAAGCATGTAGCTTTACAGGCCTGAACAGTGGATCAGCTGCATCTACTTGCCGTCAGATGCTCTGAGAATCTGTGATGACAAAGACTGCTTCCTGCAGGGGCCAGTTGTGATGCCATGGTGTGCTCTGGACCACTCTCTGGCCACAGATCACCTGCTTCACTGGCGGGACCCACCCTGCTAGCCCCACTACACTCTAATCTTCTATTCCCTCTAGAAGCACAGCTCTGATGTCAAATAAAAAATACTAAACTGTGGAGTGGTGCTGTGGTCAGTCTCTGGATGTTACCCTTTGCCCTCACTTTTTATCTCCTACTCTTGTGAACACCACCACACATATGCACTCTCAGGATGTGTAGTATGTGGGATGAAACTCCTATGAAAGAGAAGAAAACATGAACAAAATGAGAGGAAAGGCAGGTGAGGGGCACAGAGAAAGAAAAGAGATAACTGGGGGAAAGGGGGAGGGGAGAAGGGAAGAGAAGGGAGGGAAAAAGGGTCAGGAAGAGTGCAGGTGAGCGTGAGTCACTCTGATGGTGGTGTGTGACCTGGATCTCCTCAGCCTCAGTATTAGTTCATTCTCATGCTGCTATAAAGAAATGCCCCAAGACTGGGTAATTTAGAAAGGAAGGAGATTTAATTGACTCACAGTTCCATGTGACTTGGGAGGCCTCAGGAAACTTACAATCATGGCAAAGCGGAAGTGGGCACCTTCTTCACAAGGTGGCAGGAGAGAGAGTGAGCAAGAGCTGGGAAAACTGCCTTATAAAACCATCAAAACTCATGGGAACTGAGTGACTATTATGAGAACAGCATGGAGGAAACTGCCCCCATCATCCAATCACCTCTTTCCCTAACACGTGGGGATTATAGGTCCCTCCCTCCACAAGTAGGGATGACAATTCAAGATGAGATTTGGATGGGTACACAGAGCCAAACTGTATCAGCCTCCCTTTTGTTTAGAGTTCTCAGTTTCAGCTAGCTCTGTTTGCTCATTGGATACCTTTAGTATTTTGTTTCCAAAGAGTAGATTTTTATTCTTTTGCCATAGAAAAAGTATTTCCAAATGTGGAAGGATCTACTAAAATCCTTTCATCCATCCTCTCAATTGCTTGCAGAATTTTTTTTGGAAACATTTTGAGCCATTCCTACTTTCTCTAACTTTCTCTCTAACCAACAGGAAAGTTCCATTCAATAAACATTTATTGAATGTTCATTCTGTGCCAGGCTGAAGTGAGGGTGGGATTAGGAACTTAACCAAGAGCTAGTCCTTTGTGTCACAGGCACATAAATGTGATTTTAGTTTTGGTGGTTATTTTTAAGTATGTTTGTATTAGCAGAATTCCTTGTTCAAACGGAATCTTTTATGGTAGCCCAACATGTAATATAAAAAGGAGCAAAGTTACTCTGAAAGGTGAGAGAGCTAGAGAGCCTCAGGAGGCAACTGTTGCAGGCCCCAGAGTCTAGAGTCCTAGGAACCCGGTGTTCTGACATCCAAGAGCAGGAGGAGAAGAACGTTCTGCTCTGGAAGGGAGAGAGACAATGAATTCATCTTTCCTCCACCTTTTTGTTCTGTCTTTACCCCCAGCCGACTGGATGGTGCCCACCTACATTGAGGGTAAAATTTCCCACTCAGTTCACTGGCTCAAGTGCTGGTTGCCCACTACAACACTGTCACAGTGACATATCCAAAATAATTCTTCATCAGCCTTCTAGGCACCTCTCAATCCAGTCAAGTTGCCACCTAAAATAACCAACACAGAGATGCTGATTTTGAGATATACACATTGAAACGTCAGCTAGAAGTGAAGTGTTGCCTGGAGATAGAAACACGGGTCATCAGCATGTAGCTGACCTTAAAAGTCATGAGACTATATATATGATGTTTATATGAAATACCTATACTATTTATTTTTATTTCACTAATACTTTGTTTTGAATTGATTGTCAGTTCAGACTCTTTCAAGAAAATTTAGAAAAACAGAAAGAAGGGGAAAAAACACCTAATACCCACAAAGAATATGGCACTGATATTTTGGTATATTTGCTTTCAGATATTTATCTTCACATTTTAATGTAATTATAATCATGCTATGCATATTGTATTCTGCTTTTTTAATCTTATAAATATTATTCATGTTATTAATTTTTGGAAACTATTTTAATGATCACATACTCCATTAAATGAATGTTTCAGTAATTTTTTCAACCATTTATTGACAATTCAATAGACTGTTTCCAGTTTTTTTTCTTAGGATTAAAAAATGTTTCTTCAAGTATCTTTACAGAGTTTCCCAGCCTGCATTTCTCACTTCTGTATTTACATTTATTTTTATCATTTTATTATATATTTTTAGTGTAGAGGAATGGAATTTCTGGACCAGGTGTTCTGAGGTTAATAAAGTCTTTCATGACTGTTTGGAAGAAACCTACCTCTCGTGGCCAAATCATTGCCTAGCACAGAAAATACACTCAAATATTTGTTACCTATTTGTCCACTTTCATCTCCAGGGCTCAAATTAAATAATCCCAATTTAGAAATTGTGTTAGCTAGCATCCATCTTTTAATGCTTAAGCAAAGGGGAAAAAAGATGGTTCAGGAAATTGTTCGTTATTTATTGCCAGTGTTCTTGACAATTATATTTTGACATTATACCAACTATAATGGGCTTGTCTCAGAACTATTTTGACAAACAAAACAGAAGCTGTCATTTCTTGTTGCCAGGCCATTACTCTATCGTGCCAATTGAGCAAATAGGAAGAGAAGCCCAGTGGTTCAAATGCCCTTTACTGATGTTTTACAGCCGGAAGAATATTCTCCCAGAGATACACATCTGGCAATCCTGCATGGCTCTCAGAGAGCATCACTGCTTTCACATTCCTGAAAATGGTGTGAACGTTTGCTTAACAAGTCTTTAAAGATGAAAATAAAGAGACTCCCTTGTGGTATGATTCTGTTCTCCAAAACTAGGAAAACAAATCATTTTTGGCCTGTTATTTTCTGTTCTCTAAACTTAATGATGAGCTGCCATGCGAGGCCATCAACAGCAACAAAGGAAGAAGCCTATTCTGAAAATGATAATGAAGGGCATTGATGTGCTGAGCAAAACCCAGAAGTTTGCTTTCCCATGTTTGTAACTGTAATTGAACATGAAAGCAAGTAGGACCTCAGAAGATTGAAGGTTTCAGGTTTTCTCTCTGTTCCTAATTACCTCTGTGGCCCATGCAATCCACTTACCTTGTTGGTGGCTTGGTTTTTATATTCTTTTCGGCGATATTTTATTGAGTGCTTCTTATAGGCCAGCCGCTGTGCTAATGACTGAAGAGCAACTGAATAAGACAAATAGGGCTCCCTGCTGTCATTAGAGGTATGTTATAGAAGAGAAATAAAGGGTCAAATAATACAGTTAAGTAGGATGAGTGTTAGTGATCGAAGAGGAACAGTGTCTTCTGGGAACAGATAAAAGGGGACACAGCTTAGAAAGTTGGGTGGAGGATGTGCCAAGTCACTGGATGGAGCCCTGTCAGGTGAAAGGGTAGGGCAGAGGAGGAAAGCTCAGGCATTTCACATAGAAGGGACAGGAGGCCAGGTGCAGTCACTCATGGCTATAATTCCAGAACTTTGGGAAGCAGAGACCGGAGAATCCCTTGAGGCCAGGGGTTCAAGGCCCACCTGGGCAACATAGCCAGACCCCACTTAGACTTTTTTTTTTTAATTAGCCAGTTATAGGAGCATGCACTTGTTGTCTTGGCCACTTAAGAGGTAGAAGAGGGAGGATCAAAGGGCCCAGGAGATGGAGGCTGCAGTGAGCTTTGATGGCACAGTTACTCTAACCTAGGTGACAGAGCCAGACTCTGTCTCTATAAAACAAACACATAAAACAGTATATGCATAGGCCTGGCAGCTAGAAACAGCACAAGGGTTTCTGAAGTTCAGTGTGTTAATAAGAGTCCGTGACTCCAAGCTCTGTTGCAGATATTTCCATACAAACTTCATGTGTGTGACAGCTTTCTTGTGTTACACACACAGGAGCTGAAGGATCCTCACTGTCGGGATGAGATGGCAGCCGCCCGAGGGGCTCTGAAGAAGAATGCCACAATGCTGTACACGGCCTCTCAAGCATTTCTCCGTCACCCAGATGTTGCCGCTACGAGAGCCAACCGAGATTATGTGTTCAAACAAGTCCAGGAGGCCATTGCTGGCATCTCCAATGCTGCTCAAGCTACCTCGCCCACTGACGAAGCCAAAGGCCACACGGGCATCGGCGAGCTGGCTGCGGCTCTTAATGAGTTTGACGTAAGCATCCTGGTGTTACACACAGAGGGGTGGGCACTGATGCTGACAAAAGAAAAAAAAAGTGTATTGGGGATGAAAGCCACTATAATAATTTACATTGAGTTTTCGCTTTTGGAGGTTTTACTAGTAAGATAAACTATGTAATGCATTTCTGTAAGATATTGGCTGAGCCATTATCACTTGTCTTTTTTTATAATTTTAATTTCAATTTTTTTTTTAAGACAGAGGCTTGCTCTCTTGCCCAGGCTGAAGTACAGTGGCACGATCTCAGCTTACTGCAGTCTCTGCCTCCCGAGTTCAAGTGATTCTCCTGCCTCAGCCTCTTGAGTGGCTGGGATTACAGGTGCCCATCACCACTCCCAGCTAATTTTGGTACTTTTTGTAGAGATGGGGTTTCACCATGTTGATCAGTGTTGAACTCCTGACCTTAGGTGATCCACGTGCCTCGACCTCCCAAAGTGCTGGGATTACAGGTGTGAGCCACTGTGCCCGGCCTATCACTTGTCTTTAAAGAAACAACTGTATTTAAGAGTGCCTGATCCCTTGCAGGTAGATGAAATACCCTACAGGTGATTTTAGGGACAGTTCATAATTTGGTGATCATCTTTATTATTAAAGGGACACATGTTATGAACAGCTTAGGTGTAGGTTGCCTCTATGATGTGCCTGGGTGAAAAGCTGCCATCAATTTCTCTGTTTTAAATCAGTGATAAAGTCCTTTGCCCTATGATCCCACATAAGACCCTGGTCTTCCTTAAAATGACCCCTCTGAGGAGTGCCTGTATTAGTCCCATGAAAGTTCTGCATTCTTTTTTTTTTTTTTTTAATTTTTTATTTGATTATAGGTTTTGGGGTACATGAGCAGAGCATGCGAGACAGTTGCGTAGGTACACACATGGCAGTGTGCTTTGCTTTTCTTCTCCCCTTCACCCACATTTGGCATTTCTCCCCAGGCTATCCCTCCCCACCTCCCCCTCCCACTGGCCCTCCCCTTTTCCCCCCAATAGACCCCAGTGTTTAGTACTCCCCTTTCTGTGTCCATGTGTTCTCATTTTTCATCACCCACCTATGAGTGAGAATATGTGGTGTTTCATTTTCTGTTCTTGTGTCAGTTTGCTGAGGATGATGTTCTCCAGATTCATCCATGTCCCTACAAACGACACGAACTCATCATTTCTGATTGCTGCATAATATTCCATGGTGTATATGTGCCACATTTTTCCAATCCAGTCTATTATCAATGGGCATTTGGGTTGATTCCAGGTCTTTGCTATTGTAAACAGTGCTGCAATGAACATTCGTGTACATGTGTCCTTATAGTAGAACGATTTATAGTCTTTTGGATGTATACCCAGTAATGGGATTGCTGGGTCAAATGGAATTTCTATTTCTAAGGCCTTGAGGAATCGCCACACTGTCTTCCACAATGTTTGAGCTAATTTACATTCCCACCAACAGTGTAAAAGTGTTCCTTTTTCTCCACATCCTCTCCAGCATCTGTTGTCTCCAGATTTTTTAATGATCGCCATTCTAACTGGCGTGAGATGGTATCTCAATGTGGTTTTGATTTGCATCTCTCTGATGACCAGTGATGATGAGCATTTTTTCATATGATTGTTGGCCTCATATATGTCTTCTTTCGTAAAGTATCTGTTCATATCCTTTGCCCACTTTTGAATGGGCTTGTTTGTTTTTTTCCTGTAAATCTGCTTGAGTTCTTTGTAAATTCTGGATATCAGCCCTTTGTCAGATGGGTAGACTGCGAAAATTTTTTCCCATTCTGTTGGTTGTCGATCCACTCTAGTGACTGTTTCTTTTGCCGTGCAGAAGCTGTGGAGTTTCATTAGGTCCCATTTGTCTATTTTGGCTTTTGTTGCCAATGCTCTTGGTGTTTTGTTCATGAAGTCCTTGCCTACTCCTATGTCCTGGATAGTTTTGCCTAGATTTCCTTCTAGGGTTTTTATGGTGCCAGGTCTTATGTTTAAGTCTTTAATCCATCTGGAGTTAATTTTAGTGTAAGGTGTCAGGAAGGGGTCCAGTTTCTGCTTTGTGCACATGGCTAGCCAGTTTTCCGAACACCATTTGTTAAACATGGAATCCTTGCCCCATTGCTTGTTTTTGTCAGGTTTATCAAAGATTGTATATTTGTATGTATGTTGTGTTGCCTCCGGTGCCTCTGTTTTGTTCCATTGGTCTATATCTCTGTTTTGGTACCAGTACCATGCTGTTTTGATCACTGTAGCCTTGTAGTATAGTTTGAAATCCGGTAGTGTGATGCCCCCTGCTGTGTTCTTTTTGCTTAGAATTGACTTGGCTATGCGGGCTCTCTTTTGGTTCCATATGAAGTTCATGGTGGTTTTTTCCAGTTCTGTGAAGAAAGTCAGTGGTAGCTTGATGGGGATAGCGTTGATTCTGTAAATTACTTTGGGCAGTATAGCCATTTTCACGATATTAATTCTTCCTAACCATGAACATGGAATGTTTCTCCATCTGTTTGTGTCCTCTCTGATTTCGTTGAGCAGTGGTTTGTAGTTCTCCTTGAAGAGGTCCCTTACGTTCCTTGTGAGTTGTATTCCAAGGTATTTTATTCTTTTTGTAGCAATTGCGAATGGCAGTTCGCTCTTGATTTGGCTTTCTTTAAGTCTGTTATTGGTGTAGACGAATGCTTTTGATTTTTGCACATTGATTTTATATCCTGAGACTTTGCTGAAGTTGTTTATCAGTTTCAGGAGTTTTTGGGCTGAGGCAATGGGGTCTTCTAGGTATACTATCATGTCGTCTGCAAATAGAGACAATTTGGCTTCCACCTTGCCTATTTGAATACCCTTTATTTCTTTTTCTTGCCTGATTGCTCTGGCTAGAACTTCCAGTACTATATTGAATAGGAGTGGTGAAAGAGGGCATCCTTGTCTAGTGCCAGATTTCAAAGGGAATGCTTCCAGTTTTTGCCCATTCAGTATGATATTGGCTGTTGGTTTGTCATAAATAGCTTTTATTACTTTGAGATACGTTCCATCGATACCTAGTTTATTGAGGGTTTTTAGCATAAAGGGCTGTTGAATTTTGTCAAATGCCTTCTCTGCGTCAATTGAGATAATCATGTGGTTTTTGTTTTTGGTTCTGTTTATGTGGTGAATTACATTGATAGACTTGCGTATGTTGAACCAACCTTGCATCCCCGGGATGAATCCTACTTGATCATGATGAATAAGTTTTTTGATTTGCTGTTGCAATCGGCTTGCCAATATTTTATTGAAGATTTTTGCATCTATGTTCATCATGGATATTGGCCTGAAGTTTTCTTTTCTCGTTGGGTCTCTGCCGGGTTTTGGTATCAGGATGATGTTGGTCTCATAAAATGATTTGGGAAGGATTCCCTCTTTTTGGATTGTTTGAAATAGTTTTAGAAGGAATGGTACCAGCTCCTCCTTGTGTGTCTGGTAGAATTCGGCTGTGAACCCGTCTGGACCTGGGCTTTTTTTGTGAGGTAGGCTCTTAATTGCTGCCTCGACTTCAGACCTTGTTATTGGTCTATTCATATTTTCAGCTTCCTCCTGGTTTAGGCTTGGGAAGACACAGGAGTCCAGGAATTTATCCATTTCTTCCAGGTTTACTAGTTTATGCGCATATAGTTGTTTGTAATATTCTCTGATGATGGTTTGAATTTCTGTGGAATCTGTGGTGATTTCCCCTTTATCATTTTTTATTGCATCTATTTGGTTGTTCTCTCTCTTTTTTTTTAATCAATCTGGCTAGTGGTCTGTCTATTTTGTTGATCTTTTCTAAAAACCAGCTCTTGGATTTATTGATTTTTTGAAGGGTTTTTCGTGTCTCAATCTCCTTCAGCTCAGCTCTGATCTTAGTAATTTCTTGTCTTCTGCTGGGTTTTGAGTTTTTTTGATCTTGCTCCTCTAGCTCTTTCAATTTTGACGATAGGGTGTCAATTTTGGATCTCTCCATTCTCTTCATATGGGCACTTATTGCTATATACTTTCCTCTAGAGACTGCTTTAAATGTGTCCCAGAGGTTCTGGCACGTTGTGTCTTCGTTCTCATTGGTTTCGAAGAACTTCTTTATTTCTGCCTTCATTTCGTTGTTTACCCAGTCAACATTCAAGAGCCAGTTGTTCAGTTTCCATGAAGCTGTGCGGTTCTGGGTCAGTTTCTGAATTCTGAGTTCTAACTTGATTGTACTATGGTCTGAGAGGCTGTTTGTTATGATTTCAGTTGTTTTGCATTTGTTGAGCAGTGCTTTACTTCCAATTATGTGGTCAATTTTAGAGTAGGTGTGATGTGGTGCTGAGAGGAATGTGTATTCTGTGGATTTGGGGTGGAGAGTTCTGTAAATGTCCACCAGGTTTGCTTGCTCCAGGTCTGAGTTCAAGCCCTGGATATCCTTGTTGATTTTCTGTCTGGTTGATCTGTCTAGTATTGACAGTGGAGTGTTAAAGTCTCCCACTATTATTGTGTGGGAGCCTAAGTCCTTTTGTAAGTCATTAAGAACTTGCCTTATGTATCTGGGTGCTCCTGTGTTGGGTCCATATATGTTTAGGATCGTCAGCTCTTCTTGTTGTATCGATCCTTTTACCATTATGTAATGGCCTTCTTTGTCTCTTTTGATCTTTGTTGCTTTAAAGTCTATTTTATCAGAGATGAGAATTGCAACTCCTGCTTTTTTCTGCTTTCCATTAGCTTGGTAAATCTTCCTCCATCCCTTTATTTTGAGCCTTTGTGTATCCTTGCATGTGAGATGGGTTTCCTGGATACAGCACACTGATGGGTTTTGGATTTTTATCCAATTTGCCAGTCTGTGTCTTTTGATTGGTGCATTTAGTCCATTTACATTTAGGGTTAATATGGTTATGTGTGAATTTGATACTGCCATTTTGATGCTAAGTGGCTGTTTTGCCTGTTAGTTGTTGTAGATTCTTCATTATGTTGAAGCTCTTTAGCATTCAGTGTGATTTTGGAATGGCTGGTACTGATTGATCCTTTCTATGT